TGGCGAAGGTGCAGACGCTCGAGGGCGAAACGAAGAGGATCATGCAAGACTTCGGGCAGCTGGTCGAGGCCATGCCGGCAGGAGAGCGCGCGGACACCCTAGCCTACTTCAATGTGGAGAAAACGTACAGCGAGCCAGACCAACCGACGAGGTGGAATATTCACATCATGTTCAACCCGCTGAGCTCGACGCCGCGGACGAAGAAATTTGAGGATGGGATCGACGACGTCAGACAGGGCAACGCAGAGGAGCTGATTGCATCCAGGCAGTTCAACGTTCTAGACCTTCGAGTAGCGACGTGCAGGGCACTTAAGCACATGAAATCGGGGCAGATATACGGCGCGCCTCCCCCGACGGCGCTCGCGAGGCAGCTGCAGGAAGCGCTCCGGGCGCGACGGGCCCTGGGGCAGTGAACTCGACGGGGCTGAGGGCAATGGCGCAAGGCGGCAGGGAGAGGCCCAGGATGCTATTAGCGCGGCGGGGACCGCGGAAGTGAATGAGCAGCAACCAAGCATTTTTCACATTTCTCTCCAGATCGGCCTCGCGGTCAGCGGACCACCCGCGGCCCGCGCGCTCTACCGTGAGGGCGCTGAGAGCGACCGTCAACATAGACTGAGGCTCGCCGCCTTTTAATCGCTTGCCACCGCCTCCCCCCCCCCACTCGCGCTCCTGGGGGGCCGATGCTTCGGCCCGCGCTGGCCCTTGGAACGTCGGTTTCTTTGTGTTTCTTTTTCGCGTCTTGCGGGCCCGCCGCGTCGGAGCCACGGCGCGTTCGCAGCTTGTGGAACTGGGGGCCAGGAAGCAGCCCGAGGAAGATAGCCCACGCCGCCCAGCGCGCCCGAGCGAGGACATCCTTGTTCGAGGCAAGCAAGTGCAGCTCGTGGGGAGGGATTGCGGAGGGATTGGGGGGCGGGAGAGAGTCTGCACACCGAGCGAGCGGTCTCCAGGAAGACTACGACGTAAGCAAACGCACGCACCGCTTCCCGAGACGGGGGGGATGGGCCACAGTGCCAAAACCCCCCCGACCGTTCCATAACATTTTTTTTTTCCCTCCGATTCCGACTCCTCCTCCTCCTCTTCCCCTTTTTTATCGTCGTCGTCGTCGTCCTCATTCTCTTCCTCTTCCTTCCCCTTATCTACATTAATTGTCCTTATAACTAACTTCTCCGTGTCGCACCCCGAGGCCAGTTTTTAGGGCGGGCCGGGCGCTTCGTTTGAGACCTCATCATTTATGACCCTGAAGCTTACACCATAGCAGCAGTTTCGCAGATGGAGAGCGGGTGGTTTTCAAACTGTGGCTCTTGCCCCAGCGCCGCGCACATTCGTTTCAGAAAACTGCAGCAGTTTCACAAACGGAGGGCGGGTGGTTTTCAATATGTGGCTCTCGCCTTAGCGCCGCGCGCATTCGTTTTTTATCATTGCATGAGTTTCGTGGATTAAGGGCGACCCGTTATGGAAATGTGGTTCTTGCCTTAGCGCCTCGCACCTTCGTTCCAAGCGTTTGCAAGAGTTTCACGGATTAAGTGCGTTTTTCAATATGTGGTTTTCGCTTTCGATCCGCGCATTTCACGGACTCCCATGATCAACGTATCAGAAATAGTGTCTTGGAAGGGTTCAGGATTGTGCGGGTCAACGGTTGCGTTGGTTCGCGGCGCTGAAGTCCCAGGACTGGCGTTTTGACACGATTCAGAATCGCCAAGACGCAACAATCAGGTTGATCCGTGGCGTTGGAATTCCGAGAGCAATGGTTTGGCATGCTTCAGGGTCGTTAAACGATTGTCTTCCAATGAGGCAGTTCCCTCTGTGGGAATGAACCATTGTAGGGGTCTATGAAGAGCCAGCTTGGAGGGAGCGTTCATTCTAACATGTTGATGACTATTTGGTTTAAACTTGTGCTCCTCCTCCTCTTTGATGGTCCTCCTCCTCCGCGTTTCCGTTCTCCTTTTCCTCTTTCTTCCTCCTCCTCCTCCTCTTCCTCCTCCTCCTCCTCCTCCTCCTCCTCCCCCTCCTCCTCCTCCTCATCCTCCATTCCCTTTCCTTATAGATATTTTCTCTGAGTCGCACCCCGAGGCCAGTTTTTAGGGAGGGCCAGACATTTCGCTTGAGACTTCCTCACCGTTTATGACCCTGAAACGTAAACAATGGCAACAGTTTCATAGATGGAGGGCGGGTGTTTTTCAAACTGTGGCTCTCGCCCCAGCGCCGCGCGCATTTGTTTCAGAAAACTGCAAGAGGTCCACAGATGGAGGCTCTCGCATTGGCGCCGCGCACATTCGTTTTAAAACTGTTGCAATATTTTCAAGGTTGATGACGGTTCCTTTTGAAACTGTTGCTCTCACCTGAGCGCCGCCCACATTCGTTTTCAAATGTTACAAGAGCTTTTGGGATTTCCATGATCAGCACACTGGAATTCGCGTTTTGGAAAGATTCGAGACTATGAGGGTGCAACAGCTACATTGATTCGCGGCGTTGAAGTCCCAGGAATGGCGTTCTGGCACGATTCAGAATCGCCAAGACGCAACAATCAGGTTGATCCGTGGCGTTGGAATCCCGAGAACAACTGTTTGGCATGCTTCAGCGTCGCTAAACGGTTGTCTTCCAACGAGGCAGTTCCCCGAGTGGGAATGAACCGTTGTAGGGTCCTATCTATGAAGAGGGAGCTTCGAGGGAGGTTTGATTCCCACATCGTTGATGACTCTTGGGTTTGCACTGGTCCTCCTCCTCCTCCTCGATACTCCTCTTCCCCCGCCTCCTTGTGCTCCTCCTCCTCCTCCTCGTCCTCCCTCCCCGTCCTCCTCTTTCTCCTCGATGCTCATCCTCTCCTTCGCCTCGATCCTTCTCCTCCTCATTCTCCTCCTCCTCCTCTTCCTCCTCCCGCTGCTCCTCCTCCTCGATCCTTCTCCTCCTCCTCCTCCTCCTCCTCTTCTTCCTCCTCCCGCTGCAGACCTTCAGAGTCTTGGCCCCTCTCCGCGTGCGGACCTCCGGAGCTCCCGGCGGTGTCGTCCCCGGGGCCGGCCTCCGAAGCTGGCCGTGTCCGTCGTTTCCTGACGGGTCCCTCCCCCATCCAGGGTCTCCTCTCCTCCTGCTCCTCCCCCTCCCCCTCCTCCTCCCCCTCCTCCTCCTCCTCCTCCTCCTCCTCCTCCTCCTCCTCCTCCTCCTCCTCTCCTCCTGCTCCTCCCCTCCTCCTCCTCTCCTCCTCCTCCTCCTCCTCCTCCTCCTCCTCCTCCTCCTCCCCCTCCTCCTCCTCCTCCTCCTCCTCCTCCTCCTCCTCCTCCTCCTCCTCCTCCTCCTCCTCCTCCTCCTCCTCCTGCTCCCCCTCCGTCGTGGCCGGGGTCCCGACACAGACGCAGACCCTGGATGGGGGGGGGGCAAGCACGCGGCAGGAGCCCCTGTCGTGGCTTTGGGCGCGGCGCCCAGGCGGTTGGGCTTTTCGCCCAGCCTCTCAGCATCTCCCTTCGCGTCGTTGGCCTCCTCCGCCTCCTCATCCTCATCGTCATCATCATCGTCCTAATCCGTCCTGGTCCACCTCGGGAGCCTGTCTGCCGCCAGCCTGATGGCGTACTTACACCGGGCCACGGTACAAGAAATGTCAGAAAGCACAGAAGCGCTGGCGGACGGATGCGCCGCGGCTCCTTCCTTCGCAGCTCTGTCGGCAAAATTGCTGCCTACGCGTAAAAAGCGCTCGCGAGGAGAAATGCTGGGATCATCGATGGCCTGATTCGCTTTGACCTTCTCGCAGCCCAACATTTTCGCCCCACCCAAAGCCCGCCCCTGCATCACCAACCCAGCGTATGGTCTGTCAGGCGGGAGTCTGGCAAGATCTGGCAAGCCGTGCATATGGACTACATTGGCGCAGTCGCTGAAGAGCATGCCAGACCTAGCAAGCAGTGCGTCGCACATTGCAGAAGCCGAAAACTCTCCAGCCTGAGCCGTCTTGGGGCAGCGATTCCACACGGGACCGGAAACGAGAGCCAGCAGATGCCATAATGGCTCACCATGGCGATCCCCCAGCCCGCAGGGTCTAACCCGTGCGCGCCTGTTGTTCGAGAGGCCCCAGGGCCCCACTCGTGGATCTGGCTCGGCCCTCCTAGTGGTTCTCAGCGTCTTCGGCAGTGTCAGTCTTTTCTCCGCTCCTACCAGAGCCCAGGTGGTGTCTGCCCTCCCCCAGGCCACTGTAGCGAGATTAGCAGGGTCAACGCGCAGGCCCTGTGGGATTTGAATCACAAGTGTATCATATTTGACTGTACGAACGACTCGTTGATAGTTGTTTGCACGGAATGCAAGAGATCAACGTTTGGGGCTCGTTTCGCCAAGCTTGGAGAGCTTTGTCCAAGCCGGCGTCGTGACAAGTATTATCCAATATTATCCAGACTGTTGGAACAAGATTTGCAAAGGGTTCCATCCGAAAGAGAAGGGGGCCACCTTGCTATCATATACTTTTAGCGTGCTCTGGACGCGCAGCGGGGCAGTGGTGCTCAAAAAATCCTCATCGTCCTCCTCCTCCTGGCTTCGGTCCAGGGGGGCTCGTCGACTGGGCTCTCGGGCGCGGCGCACGGCCGTGGCGCCCGCGGTCGGCGATGGACCGCGGACTCCTGGGATGGTGGCGCGGCCTCCGCTGAGGCCGATCCTGTCCGGTCCGATGCGATCCCCTTCCTGCTTCTCCAGGGTGCACGGAGCAGCATCATCGGTGGTAGTTCTGGTCGTATCCGCAGCATCTGGGCTTCTCAGATGGTGTCGGAGTAGGCGGGGTCAGAGGACTACGCCGCATCGCCGATGCATCGGCGATGCGGCTCGATGTGGAGCCCGATTTTCTCCGCGCCGATGGCGCCGACGCATCGCCGACGTCGCAAGTGCATCGCCGGTGCATCGCCAATACATCGGCGATGCATCGCCAACGCGGCGCGATTTTCCGACTCCATTTGCTCCGACCCCATCTTGGAGTCCGAATATTTTTGCCGCCCTCCTTCTCCTCCTCCTCCTCCACCTCCTCCGCTCCCGAGGCCCACATGGAGAGGCTGAGGCGCGCACAGGACGTGTGCATTGCGCTCATCTGCTTCTCGCAGGATTCGGAGAACGAGGACGACATCCCCCAAGACGCCGGGTCCTCGGCGTCCGCAGGCCTCCGGCGTGGGACAGATCACGGCGGCAGGTCTTTCGGAGTTCGGGCCTCTGAAGACATGATTCGCGCCTTGGGGCCATCACGAACCCGTCGGTTGTTGAATGGAGGTATTCTTGGATGTCCATGTCCTAATCTACTGAAGCCGCTATCCTACTTCAAGAGTCGAGCGGTTTTCCCTCTTCCCTCCTTCAGGGGGCGGGCGGAAGCCCAATTCACTTACCGCCTTCCTACTTTATGGTAAACCTGCTTCTTCCGACTGACGTGTAATTGGCAAGCTGGTCCCAAGGATAGGGCCGATGTTTTGTCCCAGGGTCTACGTCGCGAGCACGTCGCGACGACGGAGGTCCTGAGCCTAGTCGTGACATAGTGGATGAGGGGATTGAAGTTGAGGGGTGATGCCGAGGAGGCGCAGGCAGAGGCGGGTGTGTTGGAAGATGGGGAAGCGCTGGCGAAAGACGGGGGCCGAGGCGAGTCAGGAGGAGGGGGAGTAATCATAGGAACTCTTAGCCGTTTGACTCCAGACTGGGTTTGCCCCCGCCCCCTCCCCTCCTTGCCGCTCTCCCTCCTCCCGCCAACCCGTATGCGCCTCAGAGAGCCAGCCCCCTTCTCTCATTTTTTTTGACACCTCCTCCCCGACACGGGGGAGAAAGGAAGAGTGAGGGAGGTGCGAGATGGTAGGATGACCTGAGGTGGAAAGGAACGAGGATGGAGTAAGGAGAGGGAGGATGATCTCGATTCTGGGACGAGGGGGGAGGAGTCCAATATATCAATAGAGCGTCGGTGTTCGTCCTCAGCATCGGTGGGCGTCAAGGCTGCGTTTGACCGCCTCGGCCTCCAGGATTCACGGCGCATGGATGTGCATGTGCATGCTCGTGGTGCACGGCCGTTCCCGTATCGTACAGCGTGTGCAGAAACATCGAAGGCATCGTGACCGAGTCGCGCGCGCCTTCGAGCGTGTTTTGCTGAATCGGGGACTGCGTTTATGCTTCCTTCTCTCTGCACTGCGTCGTGGCCTGCCGCCGAGAAGGCGGCCAGGGAGCGGCCAGCAAGCGGATGCTGGTTTCTCCCCCGGTCTGGTTCGTGGGCTGCTTTGCGCAGGCTGGAGGGTGTCAGGGGAACCTGTAGTAGCCGAGGCTAAGCACCCTTCGAGTAGGGCATCGACTGTATTTCAAATATTGCTTTTCCGATCAGAAATATGTGCAGTTTTGTGTAGATTCCAGAACCATTCTTTGAGTGTTTGCACATTCGACGAACAGCCAAGTTTGGGGTAATCAATTCTGTAGTCGATCTCCTACTCAAATCCCGCGGGTGCCCAAGGTCATCGCCTCTCCCCTTCCCCTTCTGCCCGGATCCAGGTCTGCGGCCCACCACGCCGTCGACGTGCAATATCTTCGTCCACCTGCCACTGCGTCGTCGTCCTCCTGCTGCCCCCTTCTCTCTTCCTTTTCCCCCCTCCCTTGCTTGTCCTCCTCCTCCTCCCTCTTGTTCTTGTCCTCCGCCACCCTCTCCTTTCGCTCTCCACCTCCACTATCCTCCTTTCGCCTCCTTGTCCTCTAGCTCCTCCGCCCACTCCCTTCCTCGCTTTCCTCCCCCTCCTTACTTTTGCTCAGCCGACGAGGAGGAGGAGGAGGAGGACGACGACGTCGACGACGACAACGACTGAGTACCGGGGACGACGAGGACGACCAGGGGCGTCGACGGCGATGACGACGATGACGACGACCAGGGGCGACGGCTTGTCGGCGACGACGACGAAGACGACCACGAGGTCGTCGACCAGGAGCAGCAATGACAACCTGTGGCGACGACGGCGTCGACTGCTGGGGGCTGGCCTTCCTAGGTTGTGAACTACCGCGACGACGTTCCCAGAAACACGTCCGCGCGTGCGTCCAGCCTCGCGTACTGCGAGGCTGTCACCGTTCGGACGAGACGGGCGACTGGAAGGGAGGAGGCGTTCTACGGTGGGTGACTGAGCGGCGACTGGAAGGGAGGCGAGCAGCTGGAAGGGAGGGGAAGGACTGAGCTGAGGATGGGTAGAAGGCTAATGGAGGGAGGAGTTGTGATTCTGATGCTGCTGATGATTTCGATGATGATAATGGTGGTGTTGGTGATGGTGATTGTGATGGTGGTGACGGTGGTGGTGATGGTGATGATGCTTTGATGATGATGAGGATGTTGATGATGATACGGATAATGATGAGGATGAGGATGAGGATTTTGAGGATGTTGCTGATGATGATGCGGATGCTGATGACAATGACGAATATCACGATGCTGATGTGAATGGTAACAGTGATGATGATAATCATGACGACGATGATGATGATGATGATGATGATGATGATGATGATGATGATGATGATGATGACGATGATGATGATGATGATGATGATTATGATGATGATGATGATGATGACGATGATGATGATGATGATGATGATGATGCTGATGATGATGATGATGATGCTGATGATGATGATGGTGTCGCTGCTGATGATGATGAGGATGATGATGCTGATGATGATGACGGTGGTGCTGATGTTGCTGATGTTGATGCTGATTGTTTTATGCTTCTGCTGCTGTTGCCGATGATTCTGATGCTGATGCTGCTGATGATGATGATGATGATGATGATGCTGGTGGTGGTGATGATGATTATGATGGCGATGCTTACGATGATGACGATGATGCTGATGATGACGACGACGACGATGCTGATGATGAGCAGGAGCAGGAGGATGGAGGGATGAGGGATGGGGGGCAGGGAGGAGGGACGAATGGGAGGGATCAGAGTATCGTCCATAGCCCCCTACTTGCACGTCGATGCACATGCAAGTAGTCGCTTGCAGTACGGGTAGCGCCCCCTTGAAAGATGAGCGCCCTGTGGTCTGTTAGTCAGGCGATAGCTCTAGATGCGGTTGCGTAAGCGCAGTCCGCGAGCGTGTTGCACGACATAGATACCCAGTACAGTAAGGCTGATCATTTTCCCGTTTTGGCTAGGTTTTCTCGGGACCCAGAGGAAGCCAAGTCAAACATGTTCGGAGTTGCGATGTCGAAAACAACACAGGACGAGGAATGTTGCCAGGGCATCCGTGCGCAAATGACTCTTTCTCCAAGGTTCCGTGGGGGGTGAGGGTAAACGACCACGCTCGAGTATTTGACGAGTGTGTGCTCCAAGCTGCCTCGGTGGCCTGTCCTGTAGACCACGATGTCCCAGTCCCCTTCAAGCCTTACATTGCCCCGGAGATCCAGGCACCATTCTCTTGCGTAGGAGAGTCAGACTGGCTCTCAGAACGTATCGAAGGCAGGATGCGAAGCCTTTGAAGGACATTGTCCAAGCTTGCAGTGCGGTGCCAAATCCCACACATCATGGGGCGCCTGAAGGAGTCCAGGCCGAATGTTTGTTCCAGTCTCCCTTCGCTGAGAGGACACGAGGCAAAATGCGCTTCCAGTCGCCGGCGTTGCCGAGTCTGCTGCGTTTTTCCTCAGAATATCGCACGCTTTAGCCAAGAATCGAAATCGAGTTATTGCTGCCAACGGGGAGCTTCTGGAACAAATGGCCGAAGATCTCAACTCGTTGATCCCGGCGGGCGCGGCTAGACAATAATGGGAGATTGATAGTGCCATCGATTGGTTCGGAGGGGGTGAGTCTAACTGCGCACACGACCACTTGTTCACTTGCCTGTGATAAAGGTCGAGGATGACCGCGTTTTTTTTTTTTTTTTTTTTTTGTTTTTTTTTTTCCCCCCCGACGATGTAGCAGATGGATTCCTAGATTTGTTTTGCAGACGTGGAGTTCGGAGTCGTGGCTGAGAGACACCATGTCGCCGAGTCTCATAGTGAGCATCGGCGAGCAAACTTCTACAAACCGATCGGTGACCTTGACAAAGCTTGGCTTTCCAGTTGCAATTTGCTTTGGCACGTGACCAGCTGCGAGGGAGTTGTTTGTCGCCCAAGCTTTGCCGAGGTGCGGGGCCAAGTGGGTTGTGGAATGAGCTGCTCAAAGTTGCAGCCAGTGGGTTGACAGATGCCTACCATCCCCTCTTCGCCAAAGTTGCTTTTCAGAAGGCCGAACCCCTGGCTTGGAAATGAGGGTGGGCTGTCCCCATCCCCAAGAAGCCACCATTGTGCTGGAGGCAGTTTAGGCAAAGTATCGTTTTTTTGCGAGCGACTTTGCCTTCGGTGGTTACGGAGCTGGCTTGACTTGGCCAGATGGGGGGATTACAGTGCAGGGGTCCCGACCTTGTATCACTCGTCATACATACGACTATGGGTTTTTTGAAAAGCCAGCGGAGAAATCCGGTGGTGGTTCCGCAGATCTCAAAGACGCCTTCTATGGGCCTATGGGCTGGTAAAACAGTGTGTGGTTGACTCAGCAAGTGGACGAGGATGCGACATCAGACTATCTACAGGCCCAAAAACCTTGTGCCTACGTTTACTTCTTTGCTGCGCAAGCCGGCGCTCCTGGCCATCAAGGCACCAGCCCAGCTGTCAGACATGCTTGCTAAAGCCGTCGGGGCCAACTGGTTCGGGGTGCGCGGTGCCCAGAGCCTCGCGATCCTCAGATGCGGATCTCGAGCAGGTATGCCGCTCGGGGATTTGTTTTTAGTCCCAGGGTTTGCTCCTGCACGTACGAAGGTACGCCGCGGGATACAGACGACCATTTGACAGTGCGAACAGGCCAGTACTCGGCAGATTGCCACAGGGACAGTCCTGAAATGGTCGCCCATGTCTGCAATGCCGCGAAGCGCATTCGTAAGCAACGGGGATGCACGGAGCAGCTTGTGTGGACGATTATCCCAAAATTGATGATGATGATGATGATGATGATGATGATGATGATGATGATGATGATGATGATGATGATGATAATGATGATGATAATGATGATGATGATGTTGAGGCTGTTGCTGATGCAGATGCTGTTGCTGCTGCTGATGATGCTAATTATGATGATGTCGATGATGCTGATGACGATGACGATGACGAAGATGATGATGATGCTGATGATGATGACGATGATGATGTTGTTGGCTGATGATGATGGTGGTGATGATGATGCTGATGATGATGATGATGATGATGATGATGATGATGATGATGATGATGATGATGATGATGATGATGATGTTGAAAGAGCGGGTTCAGTGGTCGCTTGGAGGTGGGGGGGGGGTAGAACTGGACCCCCCCATCCCCTCCCCCTCCTCCCTACTTCTCCTCTCTCCCTCTCCTCGGGCCAGCGCTTGCGTCGGCGGCGGCTGGCGGCGGCGGCGGCGGCGGGGACGACGACTTCATTTTCTGGGCCGGCGTCGGCGCCTGCGGCGGCGGGCGGCGGCGGCGAGGAACGTCGACGAGGACGACGGCGACGGCGACGATGACGACGAGCATGTGTGAAGCCTCGTGGACCTTCCTCAGGGCCTTTCGGTGCCTTCTGGGGGGGCGAGGGCTCCGTATGGCGATTTGCGTGTTCCCTCTGCGGCCTCTGGGTTCTCTCTGGTAATCGTCGCTGCGTCCCCGCCGTCGGCGCTGCTGGCGGCCGCCAGCGCGGGCGCTGGCGCCGGCGCCGAGGGGGGGGGGTATTTGGAGCCCTCCCCCCTTCCTTGAGAGGGGGAGGGAGTTCGGGATGGGGGGGTTCGGGGGGAGGGGAGTCCTCCTGGTTTTGATCGACGGCGCCGAGTGTTGGGGAGGGGGGGGCCCACCCCCAGGTTCGATACGCAACCTCCGAATTTTCCCAAGGCCAGCGACCGTGAAACGCGTTTTCTCCGATGTTGATTTGCTGCTGATGATGATGACGATGCTGATGGTGACGGTGATGATAATTTCTGCTGCTAGTGCTGCTGATGATGACGACGATGATGCTGATGATGATGATGATGACGTTGATGACGACGATTACGATGCTGATTTGTACGATGCAAATGCTGATGGTGATGCTGATGGTGATGCTGGTGATGCTTATGATTATGAGAGGATGATGGTGATGATGACCATGTAAACGATGCAGATTAAGCGAATGCTTCTGCTGCTAATGCTGATGTGATGGTGATGCTGATGAGGATGATGATTGTGATGCTGAGGATGTTGAGAATGCTGATGATGATGATTTTTATGCTGGTGCTGATGCTTATGCTGATGCTGCTGGTGACGTTGGTGCTGGTGGTAATGATGGCGACGATGCTGATGATGCTGGCTCTGGTGATGATCATGATGCTGATGCTGCTGCTGCTGCTGAAGAAGATGGTGGTACTGATGCTGATGCGGATGTTGATGCTGATGCTGATCGTGATGCTGATGTTTGCTCCTGTTGTTGAAGAGGAGGAGGAACTGATGCTGATGCTGCTGATTTTGGTGGTGATGCTTGTGGTGACAATGATGATAATGACGACGGTTTTGCTGATGATGAGAATGAATGATGCTGCTGCTGATAATGATGATGATGATCATGGTGTTGATGCTGATGGTGATGACAATGATGTATTTGATCATGTTGCGGATGATGCTGATGATGATGATGATGATGATTCTGATGCTGATGATGGGGATGATGATGTTGATGATGCTGATTATGATGGTGGTGGTGCTGGTGGTGGTGATGTCGTTGCTGATGCTGATGATGTTGATGATGCTGGTGATGATTATGTTGGGGATGAGGAGGAGGAGGGAGGAGGAGGATGAACAGGAGGAGGAGGAGGAGGAGGAGGAGGGGGAAGAGGAGCAGGAGGAGGAGGAAGTATTATCATAACTTGAAGAGGAGTACTAATACGTGTTATCAGAATCCAGACTTCTGGAACATACATACTCGTACTACCAAGAAGAGGACGAAACATACTGATGGTAGTAAGGAGGACATACTAAGCATATTAAGTATAAGAACATTACGGATAACATCAAACATACTCATACTAATAATACTTATAATAATAGTAATACTAACCATTATATAACAATAATAATAGTAGTAATAATAGTACTAATAATACTAATATTACTAGTAATAATAATAATAATCGTAATGCTAATAATACTAATAAGAATACTAATAATAATAATGATAATAATAGAAATAACAACACTAATAACAATAATAATACGAATATCAATACGAAGAAGAGAAATGGCAGGAGGAGGAGGAGGAGGAGGAGGAGGAGGAGGAGGAGGAGGAGGGGGTCAGGGAGGGAGCGATCGTCAAGGACTAGGGGATAGCCCGGGAACCCTCCACTGGTGGAGCCGGTGGGGCGGTTGGCGCCGCCTGTATCGGCGGGGTATATGTAGAGCCAGGGACCAGGCTGCAGGACTGGCGGAGGCGAGTAGGGGTGTGCCTGCCCGTGGGGGGGCGATCGGGGTTGGCGACCTGGTCTCCCCCCCTGCTGGGTTCCCCCCCAGCTCGGGGCCCCCAGGCCCCATCCGTCGCTCGCCGCCCTTCGGGTAGGCCGGTGGTGCGCCCGCACGGCATTTGCCGTGCAGCCGTGCGGCGCATTCGCTGCACGGTGGCGCCGCTGCAGATTGTGCCTCCTTTTCTGCAGCTTGTGTTCGTGGGGCAAAAGAACAGGGAGGGAGCGAGTGAAGGTGTGTATGAGGGGGGAGGAGATTTTGTCGCGCCCCAGCTACCCCCCGGGAGGCCCTGCTGGTGCTCGCCTACCACTTGCTGGCGGCCCAAGTGCCGGAGGAGCGGGAGGGGGCGCAGGGGAGGAGGGACCCCGGGCGCTCGCTGATGGCCCGTCTTTCGGTGGCGAGAGGAAGAGGGAGGAGAAAGCTGGGGGGAGGATGCCAGGGCCTCATGCCGCAAAGTGGAGGCAGGCGGTGGCGAGTAGGCAGGCGGCCGGGGCTGAGCGGACGCCCAGTTGGTCGTCGCGCCCCCCTACGTGGACAGGGGGGCGGCGAATCGATTCGGATTGGCGCGTGCCGAGGAGGAGGAAGAGGAAGAGGAGGAGGAGGAGGAGGAGGAGGAGGGGAGGGAGGGAGGGAGGGAGGGAGGAGGAGGAGGGGGGAGGAGGGGGAGGAGGAAGAGGAGGAGGTGAAGGAGGAGGGGGAGGAGCAGGAGGAGGAGGAGGAGGAGGAAAAGAGGGAGGAGGAGGAGGAGGAGGAAGAAGAGGAGGAGGAGGGGGATGAGGGAGGTGGAGGAGGACGTGGAAGTGGTGGAGGAGGAGGAGGAGGAGGTGGAGGAGGAGGAGGAGGGAGGGAGGGAGGGTTCCAGCTTTCCTCCTTCCTTCAGTCTGGCCTGACACGCGAATGTGTTTTGAATTCATATTGGCAAGTCCTAGCGTTCATGCGCAATTAGTTCCCACGATGAATAATGCAGTGTTGGTTTTGCCCCGTTGCTGCATTCAGGTTCTCTCGAATTCGGGGCGGCAGGCCCTCCGTCTCCAGCCTCCTCCCCCTCTCCCTTCTCCCTCCGTCATGGGCCCTTGTTGGCTTTCTTGGGGGCCAGTTGAGGCTTACAGGGGGGTTATTTTGGGCCGCTTGGGAGCTTCTTGGGGCCTCTGGGAGAGCCACGCCGAGTGGAACGATTGGATATGTTGGACCACATAGAGTTCAACATGAATATTGCACAGTAGACGTCGCACAACATCGATGGGTAGAAACACACGGTTTGGGGTTCACTTTGGCTAACATGTGATATCAAATCCGTACCCTCCGTACCCGCTCCTGCGCTGCCGAGGACAAGACAGAAGATCAGAAGAAGGCACGCCAGAAGGAGAAGAAGGCTTACCTGCTCAGACACAGGACACCCACCAATTCTGGTTCCAGCCCCGAGCAATGAGATCCGAGAGCCGACGATGATACTGATGGTGGTGGTGATGCAGGTGATGATGGTGATGGTGGTGGTGGGTGGATGGTGATGGTGGCCGTGGTGGTGGTGGTGTGGATGATGCTGCTGCTGATGATGATGGTCGTTGCTGCTGATGATGTTGATGATACTGATGATGTTGATGATGGTGATGATGGTAATGCTGATGATGCTGATGGTGCTGATGACGATGACGCTGATGATGCTGATGATGCTGCTGATGATGATGCTGATGCCGGTGACGATGACGTTGTTGATGCTAGTGATGATGATGATGATGCTGAGTTTGGTGATGCTGTTGCTGATGATGTTGATGATCGTGATTATGCTGATGGTGATGATGCTGCTGATGATGATGTTGATGATGATCATGATGATGGTGATGATGCTGATGCTGATGATGTTGATGATGTTGATGATGGCGGTGCTGATGATGATGGTTACTGTTGTGGTGGCGATGCCGATTGTGATGATACTGATGATGATGACGATAATGCTGGTTATGATTATGGTGGTGATGATTCAGATGCTGATGCTGACGTTGATGGTTATGCTGATGGTGATGATGATGGTACTGCTGAAGGTGATGCTGATGATGATGCTGATTTTGAAGATGATTTGGATGATGATGATGATGATTATGATGCTGATGCTGATGCTGATGATGCTGATGTTGCTACTGATGCTGATGATGCTGATGATGCTGATGCTGCTGGTGCTGGTGCTGATGCTGCTGATGCTGATGCTGATGATGATGATCATCATTCTGATGATGGCGGTGGCGGTGACGATGAGTCTGATGCTGATGCTGATGATGATGTTGATGACGATGGTCGTGATTCTGCTGATGTTGATGATGATGATGCTGATGATGCTGATTGTGATGCTGCTGCTGATGATGATGATGCTGATGAGTATGATGCTGATGATGACGCTGCTGCTGATGATGATGATGATGCTGCTGCTGATGGTGACGATGATGATGATGATGCTGATGATGGTGATGACGATGATCGTGATTATGCTGATGGTGATGATGTTGATGATGATGATGCTGATGATGATGATGATGATGATGATGATGATGATGATGATGGTGATGGTGATGGTTATGATGATGGTGATGATGATGCTGATGATGATGATAAGGAGGAGGAGGAGGAGGAGGAGGAGGAGGAGGGGGAGGAGGAGGAGGAGGCGGAGGGGGAGTTTTAGGGAGGAGGAAGCGGAGGTGATACGCCAATGAGGGTGGACGTATGAGGGAGGGCGTAGAGGAGATTAGAGGGAGGAATGAGGCTGGAGGAGGGAGGACAGTGAAAATGAATCGTGAAGGAGGAGCAGGAGGAGCAGGAGGAGCAGGAGGAGGAGGAGGAGACCAAAAGGGCCCTGAGGAGAATGGGGTTCTACGATTTTCTCCGTGTTCGGTCTCCCGAGGCTCCTCCTGGGCCCGGGACCAGCAGAAAACGACTCAGTATGAACGGACTGGACTGGTCCTAGGCAAAGTCTCTGGGTCCAGGATTGCCTTTCTCCTCATGCCAAGTTTCGGCAGCGACGCACCAAATCGACTCTCCCTCCTCGTTACCCTTCCCCCTCTCTTCTCCCTCTCGCCTGATCGCCGCCTCTCTCCGCCTCCCCCACCAGCTGCGCTATCATCTTGGTCGTGTAGGGTTCGTGGTTTTGCTTGGTTCCTGAGTCCTATCCTCATGTCAACCGTGCTGCCAATGGGTCCATAATGAAACTTGTTGCAGTGGGTCCTTCAGTGCTTGAGAGATTCTTCCAGCGCGCTCACGTTGCTGCTCACCACCCAAGTGTACGTACACGCCATTTCCTTGCCTTGGTATCATTCTCAGTACCTCAATCGCGGCAGGACGCAAAAACTTGCCGCCGACCTGGACGCCGAGCGTGATGCGGAGGTGAACGCTTTCTGGATGCTATCCACTCGGCCTGTCGGCATTGCTGCGTTCAGCCAGAGGCGCGGGCTACGACTCCTCCCCGTTGGGTGTTTGTTGTCCTGGGTTTCGAGGCCGTTCAGAAGGATGTGGACGCTTCGAGGCTGTCACTTAAAACCAGGACGGGTTTCGTTGCTGGGGGACGTCTAGCACCAATGTTTTTTCGGCACACACACATATATATATATATATATATATATATCTATATATATATATATACAAGACTGCATTGGCGCTGCGCGCCATGCACCTTGGTCCTTTGGATTTCGCACGCTAGCGGAGTGCGAGCGTGCGTACATGCGCACACATGCGTCTATGAATGCATAGTACCTATGTGCATATATGTATACGTTTGTATGGAGATGTACATGTATATGCAAGTGGTCAGTGCAACTATGTGTGCGCATACACATGCGTATACCAGGCGGTAGTGGCCTGACCAGTTGCTCGTATCATCGCGCCACTAAAAGGCGCGAGGGTCTCAGGCAAACGTGGTCAGACTACCATGGGACAATGCGTCGCCGAGGTCAGTGTTGCGAGGACGTCCCGGGTGAAAATGGCCTGAACACCTCCGCTCAGGGGGGGGGCATATCCGAAGTCAGCCGTGCGAGGAAGTTTCAAGCGAGGAGAGGTCTGAACACCTCTGCCCAGGACATCTTTGAACTTAGGGTTGCGAGAAGTCGCACGCGAAAGTGGCCGAACCACCATGGTGCAAGGCACCACCGAAGTGAGAGTTGCGAGAGTGTCTCAGGCGACCGTGGCTGGAACACCTCAACTGAGAGTGTCTAGGGCCCCAGAACTGCGATGATGTTTCAAGCGAAAACGGCGGGACCGATGCGAAGCAAGGCGCTTCTGAGGTCGGAGTTGCGAGCATATCTCTGGCGAAGTTGATTAGACAACTTTCCGTTATTTCTTCTTCCTCCTTCTTTTTTTTTTTCTCCTCTTCCCCCTCCTCCCCCTCCTCCTCCTCCTCCTCCTCCTCCTGTTCCTCCTCCTCTTCCTCTCCCCCCTCTCCGCTTCTTTTTTGTGCATTCTCCCCATCCCTGGCGGCGCGGCGCGGTGCCGCTCGGCCTCCCTGCGAGTCAAGCGGAGGAGGAGGAGGAGGAGGAGGAGGAGGAGGAGGAGGAGGAGGAGGAAGAGGAGGAGGACGTTGCAAGTGTTCGTGCGGCCGTGAGTCCCCAGGGAGTGTTTCCCCAGGATGCATGCTGAAACCGAAGGTTCTCGACGGCCTGATCTCCGAAATGTCACAGAAACCTTGGTTCCCAACAGCGCGTCCGGATGAGATGGCGTCGTGGCCCCGACGGTTTGTATTGAGTGTTGCGAGAAGCTCAGTCGAGGCGGGAGGAGGAACATGAAGAGGATGAGAAGGAGGAGGAGGAGGAAGAGGAGGAGGATGAAGAGGAGGAAGAGGATAAAGAGGACAGATTATGTGGATATTTGGGGCACAGCCGAGGTGTCGCGGAAGAAACCCGCAGCCGAGACTTGGGAAAGTGAGGAGAGCTGCTTCTGCTAGACCTTTGGCGGGGCGGAACGTGAAACATCACGGGGAATTCAGAGAAGGAGGAGGAGGTAGAGGAGGAAGAGAATGAGGAAGAGGAGGAGGCTCAGGAGGAGCTCTTGGGTCCTTCGGTGGTTTGAACGGAAATTGCCTCGCTGCGCCATTGGATACGACAGCGACGACGACGAAGAAGGCTACGACGAAGAGAAGGGATAATGAGAGGGGGAGGCCGCTGTGTTGGGATGTCGTGGCGCGCGCTTCTCGGGGCCCTCTGGGGGGCAGTTTTGAAGCGTCTTGGGGGCGTTTTGGGGTTTTTGGGATCTTTGTGAGGCCTCTTGGGGGCCTTTGGGGGGCCTCTTGGGAGCTTTTTGGGGCCCCATGTGGCTCTCTCCGGGCCTCTTGGGGCCCTCTCGCGGCGGAAAATGTAGTTTTTGAATGTTTGGGCGCCTTTTTGGGTCTCTCTCGGGCCGTATTGGTGCTCTCTTGGGCCGTCTTGGGCGCCTCTTGGGCGGTCTCGGAACCCTCCAGGACCGCGTTGGGGCCTTCTTGGGGGCCTCTTGGGCAGTGCTGGGGCGATCCAGGGAGCCTCTTGGGCCATTGCGGAGCGTCGGGAAGCGGGAAAAGCGAAAGGCCAAAAACTCGAAACACACACGCACACACACACAGGAAAGTCAACAATTGTAGCCTCTCGGGGCTCTCTTGGGAGGCCTCGTGGGGGTCTCTGGGGGCGTCTTGGACGCGTCTTGGGCAGTCTTGGGCAGTCTTGGGCCCAGATCTGTGGGTGTCGCGGGGCCCTCTTTGGCCGTCGTGTGTGTGTGTGTGTGTGCGTGTGTGTGTGTGTGTGTGTGTTGTCTTGTCTTGTCTTGTCTTGTCTTGTCTTGTCTTGTCTTGTGTTGTGTTGTGTTGTGTTGTGTTGTGTTGTGTTGTGTTGAATTGTGTTGTGTTGTGTTGTGTTGTGTTGTGTTGTGTTGTGTTGTGTTGTGGTGTGTGTGTGTGTGTGTGTGTGTGTGTGTGTTTTTTGTATATATAAAAGGTTATATATACATATGTGTATTTACATATATATGTATACATATATATATATATATATATATATATATATATATATATATATATAATATAATATATATATTTCCGCGTCGCACTCGCAGGACAGACACGAAACACTCTGCAGGGGCGCCCCAAAGGCTCGGGGAGGCCGAAATTAGTTTTTTTGGGGGGGGGGCACCGTGCGCCGCTTTTCCGGGTTGCCCGGCCCTGTAAAAATATATAAATGGGAATATAGCAAACAAATCAGTTGCGGGAGGGGCCTTGCCCAGCAGGAGCGGGGGATGCACAACGCATGGGGCGCGTCTAGTATCAGGATTTGTTGGTAATCATCTTGGGGAGGGGCCTTGCCCAGCAGAGGATGATGCACACCACATGAGGCGCGTCTGGCACCAATGATTTGTTTTAATCACTTTGGGGAG